AATGGACCAAAGGCTTGGGCATGTAATTTTTCCAAAAAAAAATTTAAAATATCATTCGGTACAGCTTGCATTAGCTGTCAAACACTTATAGTATATTTAAATAAGAGCGAGCCAGAATGTCAGACTGACATGTAACTGAACACATCCAAACATTGCAAAAAGACATCAATAGGATGTAATAGAAGTTCAATATAAGCTTTTTTTAAAAGAGAGAGTATTATTATGCACAAAAATATCAATGAGGTACCACCCGAAAATAAAATAATTACAAATCGACTAAGTGATCCATGACAGTCCCAATATTTAGTAGAGGTTCAATATAAGTACACTGTGCACATAGATTTACGTGAGATAAAGTAAGATGTTATTCCAGCAAGTATCATAAACATACAATAGAGAAATTAGAAGCAGGAAACTTACATGTACACCATCACGACCAGCCAGTGGCGAGTCATTGACACCAAAAGTCATGGAAATAGTTGGCGGGTCCAGCTCAACCGTGGGTAGTGCAGACATAACCTGCCAATATGAAGCATCTTTAAAATCTCATTTCACGAGCAAAAAGTGCAAGAGAGTGCTACAATGATTACAATTTGGTTCTAGAATCCAATTTTTAATTACAATTATAGATTTGGCACCCATTAGGTTCTTTGTTTTTCTTTTTGAGATAAAAATGTATAGTATATATTAATAAGGTACCAAAAAAAGGGGATACTGCCCATTTACAATTGTGTTAGTGTATCAATGACATTCCCAAAATTCACATCACTGATAATGTCATAACCAAACAAAATAGACCCAAAATAATCAATCTACCTATCTTTTATGCTATAAATACTATTCTTAACACTATCAAAAGCCCTACTATTTCTCTCCTTCCAAATAATTCTCAAAACAGTCAAAGGTATCAAGTTAGCAATCTTATTTTTTACATATAAACCATCCCAAACCCAGATCTCACCCTCCACAGACCCAGCCATAACCCAATCCAATCCCAAAAGACCATATACCATGCTCCAAAGACTATATGCAACCGGACACCATAAAAGGAGATGGTTACATGTTTCCTCAGCATTTAAACACCAATAACATCCATTAATCAGCACCCTTCCTCAACTTCTCAGCTTGTCAATAGTTAAAATCCTCTCCCAACAAGCCTCCCAGTCAAAAAAAGGAACCCATTAGGTTCCTTGTTAATATACATCTCTCAGGAAAAAGGAAGCTTCAATTAGCCTTACTATTGAATTTGTGCTTTCAAGTCTCAAAGGATATTCTAAGTTGCTAATACTAATTTTTTCACTATCAAAAATAAAAAGTTCCAAACATTAGTCATTGATCTAGCTACCTAAATGTCAATAAATTCAAGCCCAGGCTACCTAATTCAAAACTATTCTTATTCGATGTTATCTAATACACCATGAAACTACAATAAGGGTTGGATCATATAACAAAGAAGTATGTAAAACATCAGGAGAACCCCTGAGATTTTCTTATGAGGTCAACATTGAATATCCTGACCAGCTGAATGTTGCAGGTAATAGATGGTCTATTTAACATCCTATTATCTCAAAATAGAAACGAAAAATATATGTATTTATAAACAAAGCACCAATGCAGCATCAACCTCATACAAAATGACTTTACAACTCAGTTAAATTACCAAATTAGGTCCTCAAGGTCCTCGTCACAATTAAAATAGTAACCGTTAAGCAAAAAGTACAGCACTAGAACAAAACACTATGTCTAGCACCATATCCTAACAACATCACTATGTCTAGGACTGAAGGTCCCAAACTCTATCTTAAAGCTTTTTTATTTCTCTCTTTCAAATAACACACAAAGTAGCCAAGGAAATAAGAGAGACAATCTCCTTTCTCTTCTTATTACCTCAAACACCTCATGAAGCCCAAAACTCCTCAGCAACCAACCCACAATAACCCAACTCAACCTAAGGAACTCAACCGTTGTACAAAGCCAAAAATAGAAAGAGATATAAAACAAAAGATTGTTTGGAGTTCTACCTGTCCTCTTACACAAATAGCAACCATTAACCAAAATATTTCCTGTCTTCCTAAAATTATTAATAATAAGATTCTCCCTTTTATAG